TGCACGATGCAGACGTGCCTTTAGGCAGCTGCCTTATTTTGTCACAATGATCTGGGAAGACTATTTTATTTCTTATCCTTAAATTAAATTCATGGGAGTATTTATCTAAATACCATTACTGCTCTGACCTTAACAACAGATTTTTAAGATATCTGAAATGTCTAGAAATGCTGAGATGCCCTCAAAAAGGGGAGAAAAGCACATGGGTGCCAAACTGCCACAAACTGCACTACAGCTCTGCTCATCAAAGACACCTGGCCTGACAGGAAGAAAACTGCCTACAGGAAGAAAACTCAGATACCCAAAAACAAGTGGGCACCAAGCAGAAATATTTATTTTGCTCCTGAGTCAGGAAAAAGATAGGTGCTTAAAAGACTCAAAAGACTGGACAAGGGAAATACACGGTGTTGAAGAGAAATGCTCCAAATAGCTTAAACCAAGGGTGTAAATACCTCTTCCTCAAAAAATGCCCACCTGCACAGAAGCAAATACTTCACCCACCTGGTCCAACTCAGGCAATACGTAAGGAGGGAATCTACTGACTGAGGAGAACAGCTACATGAGCAAGTGCTCACCTGGGTGAGTCACAGCCCTTAAATTATTATTCCTCACAGTGGGGATGATTTTGGTGCAGAAATACATGCTTTGAGGAAAGTTCAGAGGTGTGATGTAAATCTCAGTATTATTTATGTCAGCTATAAATGAGCTAAATTATGACCTAGCTGAGAAAAACACTTTTGTAAAACAAGGCATTGAATATTGTGTAGTTTGCATGTTTAACAGGACCAGGCTTTCATCACGGAGTGGAGGAGAGCTAATAACCCATTGATTTTAGGGCCCATTTAGGAAAAGAATTGCCTATACAGATTTGATCACCACGCATTACTTTGTAACATCTAATACCCTGGGCACAAAATAATGCTGAGAGAGGCAAATTGTGGAGCCATTTTTATCTAGAGGGTTTGTGCATGAGGGCAAGGCACGGCACAGGGGCTGTTTTGGGCCGGGGCTCACGGCAAAGGCAGGAGGAGCTCTGAGGGATGGTTGATGTTTCTCCAATTTGCCGAGCTCTGCCTTCTGCATCCACCCACAGAGCTGCTCAGCCCTACCTGGGAGATCATTCACACAAACAATTAAGCAAAGCTTGGAAAACAACCTGTCCAAAATTAAATCCCACTGACAGTTCAATAATCCTTAATTCTCATTGCATTTTTCCATCCTTATTCAATAAAGCTTTTCTGGGCTTAAAACTTCCAAACAGAGGAATTTGGGTACATAGCATGGGCTTTTCAAAACATAGATTCACAGAGGTATTTCACTTGCAGCTTTAAGACTGCTTGGGAAAGATCATCCAAATGCTAAGAATTATCAATTTCATAGCAGCATCAAGCATCAACAGATTAAAACTCATCTTGATGGGATGTGCAGCACCTTCGGCACTCTCAGACCATATCTCCATCACGACTTTCACTGCCTACACTTAAATGAGTCCCCCTGAAACAGCCATGCTGCAGTACAGCTGCAGGAGCTTCTGCTGCCCTCACCCTGCCTGCACACCACCGACCTCTTCCTCGGCTGACTGGAGAGCTTTAAAGAGTCTCCCACGGACATAAAGGAACATTTAGTGATGAGTGGGGAGGTGAAAGATAAATCATGCTCCCCCCATGCTCCCCCATAGCTAGCCAGGGCCTGTGCTGCCAGAAGGGTGTTTCAAAAATTGGGAAGTCAAACTGCTGCCCATACACAACAGCTCGACTTGAGTTGTCCATGCCACAGCCCAAGTGCAAAATGTGGACAGGACAATCAACAGGATCAGGACAACAGCCAGCCCATCCCCAAAATGTGTCCTCTCCTCCACTGGGCACCCACATCCTCCACAATTACAATTCCTGGGATGAAAAAGCTCAAGCTGGCAGGGTCTAAAATCTGTGCAGGTCCTTTCAGGCGTCTCTCTCTCTGTTGACAGACCTTCAGAGGGACACGGTCTTCAGAGGGACACGGGTCTGTGACATCTAATGACAGACCTTCAGAGAGACAGACCGTCAGACAATCCTGTCACACCTGAACCAGACCAGCAGGGAACACTCCTCTCATCCACAGGGAGAAACACCCTGTGTTTGTTCCAACTGGTGTTTCCCTGAGGCTCCTATAAACACTGGATTAACTGGGCAGAGTAATTGGAGGTAACCCCCACTTGTGTCCCCTTCAGCACGACCGCACACGTCGAACCCCTGTACCGCCCACGCACTCTTGTTGGAGGAGACACGGATGCAGCCTGCGTCCCTCATCCTCAGCACAGCTCAAAATGCACCTCGCGACAGCTCCTCGGGAACAAAGACACCAGCAAGCCCAAGGCAGCTCCTGGGACATAAATCCCGCTATTTGATGACTACTCAGATGGTTGAAATGGAAGTTTGGTTGTGATTTATGAAATCATTTGACAAATTGGGGTGCCCTGAGGCTCAATCCAGCTGCCTGTGGCACAGCCCACGGGCAGTAGTGGCGAGGGGACCTCCTGGGCTGTCCCTGCCGCGCTCGGACCCACTTGGCACTGCCGTTCATTACAGGGCTGCAGGCACCCCGTGGCTTTGCGCAGGATCCTCGCCCGACACAAAGCCGGCTCCTGAAGAGCGCAGCAGCGTTTTGTTCTCTGCAAATACACTGCTCCTGGGCTTACAGCAGTTTGGGGAAAACTGCAGGGAAATCGGGAACGTAGAGGCTTGTAGTTATGGGATGTTCGAGCATTTAAAGAGCAAAGATGTACTGAACAAAACGCAGTTTACAGATGTTCGACGGTGCAGATAGAACGCAACACCAATACACACGTGAATATGTGTGCCCGTGTATTCCATCCCCATTCAGAGCTGGATTCTTCCCCTCTTTCACAGACACTGGGGTTTCTCGGGGCTGTTCTGGGTACGGTACCCAGGGGCTCTCTCCCTCTGTGCCCCGCATTGGGTGCTGATGCGGAGGGGAAGGCTGAGGGCCGGCAGCCCCGGCACCGCCGCGCGGCGAAGGGCAGCGGGATAACGAATGCATCACACAGGGCCGGGCTGGGGCTGGGGCGCAGCAGTGGCGGGGAGCTACTGGGGACAGAGGGCCGGAGTGCGACGGTCCCTCGCACTCCGTCGCCCGGTATAGATTTCCCCGTTGTTTTTCTTTCTTCCCCGCCAGAGACCTCCCCTCGATCGGTGTTTCAGCTTAGGCTGCACATTCTGGCTGGTGAATGGCACCTGTCGGGCCCAGCACCATCATCCTGGTGTGACTGGATTTGGCCCTGCCGTGGGCCCTCCACAGCCTGCCCCCGACAAACCAAATCGACCGGAGCCCGTGCCCTGGTGCCGCTGAGGAAAGAACCATATAGGGATATTATTTTTTCCATCCCTCGTCCTGCATGGCTGCCTGGCCCTTAACTGCCCTGCGCCGCATCCGAGGCCGGGACCGGCAGGCCCGGGAACGACGTTACACTCCTGCAGCGTCCCGGTGACCGGGGCCGGGATGCGGCCGAGGCAGCGGCAGAGGCCCCCTCCCGGGAACGCGGCCACGGGAGCGCCGGCTCCTGCCCATGGCCGGGGAAAACCCGCCTGGTCGTGGCTGCTTTCTAAAAATGTCCGTTTTGCAGCACCCCCCGTTGCTGGAGGCCGGGGCACCCGGACCCGAAAACTACGGGAGGTTGTTCTTAAAAATTCCCCTCCACAACGGTGCTGGGGGCGAGCACCGGAGCCTCGGCCGCAGCCACCGCCGTCCCGCTGCCGGCGCGCTGCGCGCAGAAAAGGCAGCACAACGAAAACCACCGGGCTCCGCCGGCGGGAGCCTCGGGACCGCGTAGCTGATGGGGAGAAATTACCGGGGACCGGCGGGGCCTGCATCGGCGCCTGTTCCGGGGAGCGACGGCCCCGCACACCCCGCCCGGCCACCCCTCGGTTCCACGCGGCGCTGCCGACCGTGTCCCAAAGCCGGGATCGCTGCCGGCCGCTTCCCCCCGCACCGGCGGAGAGAGCGGCAGCAGCGCGCACAACCGCGCCGGCCCCGCTGCCGCAGCCCCGCTCCGACTCCGCCCGCCGTCCCGGCTCCACTCCCCGGTCCTCTGCCGCCCCCATTTCGGCTTCTCTCCGTGTCAGCCGAAGCTCTGCGGCGGCTGCCGGCCACCGCCCGGTCCGCAGCGCCCGGCCCGGCGGGCTCGGCTCGGCTCTCCCCGGCGCGGCGGCAGGCAGAGAGCGGAGAGACATTTGTAAAGAAAACGTTTATTTACACGTCTCGGCAAGTACAAAGTATTATACATGGTCTGTGTCAACCCCAAATCTTCTTTATTATGAAACATAAGGCGCTTTCTCGAGAGCCGGTGGCGCAGGGAGCGAGCGCTGTTTCGGGGCGCTAAAGCTCATCGGCTGGGAAGGTGAGGACAGAACGGCGTGTGGTGCCTGGAAGGAGCCCTTATTACTACGGTGAATAGATTACAGCTGACATTAACTTCACCTGGGACAGATGGGAGCTACCGCTTTTCAGTTTAATAGCGTTTCCGAAGCTAATGAGTCATCACCGGCTCCACCGAGTCCCCTCCGCTAAGTGATAGGGAGGTATTTTTTCTTTACACTATCCTCAGAACAGGAAAAAAAAATAGCCTTTTGTTCCAAAGCCAACACAAAATACCTATGTTCAGATTTCGATATAAATAATCGAGGTTTTATATAATTCCATATTAATAGTGCCCAAAATCTCGATGCATAAATAAATTAAAGTATTAACACTTCTTACAAAAAGTGACATATTTCCCTTCCTAGTGGAACATCGACACATATATACAAGCGGCTCCACTCCGCGCCGACCTCGGGGAAGCGGCTCCGGGCCCGGCTCCGGTCGGACCCGATCCCGGTGTCAGCCCTGCTGGCGCCACTCGCCGCCCCGCCACCCGCCCCGTCGGGGGAGCCGCGGCCCCGGGGCAGGGGGAGCCGCCGGCCGTGCTCCGCGGGCCAGTCCTCTGCGTGCCCCGTCTGCCGGGCTCAGACGAGGGAGGTGACCGGGGGGATCTTGGCGCTCTCCTCCTCCCAGGGCTGCAGGTTCTGCAGCGCGAACAGCGACGAGTTGTGCAGGCACAGCGGGTCGGGCTGGATCGACTCGTTCAGCGACTTCTGGAAGGCGTCGTGCTGCAGCTGCAGCATCAGCCGGCTCGCCTGCTGCCGCTCGGCCTCCCGCTCCTCCGCCGTCTGCCGCCTGCCGGGGGACACGCTCAGCCCGCGCCCGGACACGGGGCACGCTCCGCCCGGGACTCCGCGGGGAGCGGCCGGCCCGGGGCCGGGGCCGGGGCCGGGGAACCAGGCGGGGCGGCCGGCGCGTCCTTCCGGGGCCAGGCACCGCCGGGCGGGCGGCCACCGCTTGACCGCCAACGGAGGGACTGCGGGCGGCGGGAAGAGCCTGGAAACCCGCCGTTTCCCAGTAATCCCGTTTCCAAATATTCCCCCCTTTTCTCCCAACATTCCCTCGATTTTTGTTTTTTCAAATTGTTTCCCCCTTTCTTCAAAAAATCCCCCGTTATTTCGAAGAATCTCTCGTTTTTACTAACAATCCCCCGTTTTCCGAATGGGGGGCTATTGAAAAATAAATATATAAAGATAATAATAATAATTATGATAGTATAATAATAAAAATTCGCCCCCAATGGTTTGCCTGCCAGGAGCTGGCAAGGGGGGCGATCCCCGCCGGACCGGGACTCGCAGGGCAGTGGGCGGGGGGCGCCGCCCGGGGCAGCGGCAGGACGGGGCGGCTCCGGGGGCACGGGACTCACCGCCACTTGGTGCGCCGGTTCTGGAACCAGGTCTTCACCTGGGCGTCCGTCATCTTGAGGGCCTTGGCCAGGGCAGCGCGCTCGGCCGAGGCCAGGTATTTCTGCCGGTGGAAGCGCTTCTCCAGCTCGCAGATCTGCACCCGGGAGAAGGATGTCCGCGGTTTCTTGCGCTTCGGCGGAGTCCGGTTCTGGTAGGGATGTCCGATCCGCCGTGTCACCGTGAAGGGCGTCAGTGCCGCCGCCGCTGCCCGGGGGGGAAGCACAGGGGTCAGCCCCGCGCCCGCACGGTGCCGGCCGCCCCCCCCGGGGCCGCCGCTCTGCCCGCCGGCCGCCCGCGCCCCGCCGGCCCCCGGAGGGACCGAGGCTCCCCGGGGTCCCGCTGCCACCTCTCGTCGAAGAGCTGCGGAGATGACCGGGGCCCGGCCGCCCCCCGGGGCGCCCCGCGCTATCCACGCCGTGAGGAGAGCGATTTTTCGGCTCGCTGCGAGCGCAGGGGAGGGAAGCATCCAGCGGCCGCCTTTGCTTTTATTCTTACTCGCATTACTGTTATTATTTCGTTTTATATTTTTTATTGGCCCTTCCGTTCGTTGTCGGGAGCCGGCTCGCGCGCTCCGCCCCGGCGCCTTACCTGTGAACCTGTCCTTGACGAAGCGCCTGCTGCTCTCCATCCAGGGGAAGTTGAGGCTGCCCAGACTGGGCACGGCAGGCATGGCCGGGATGGCGCTGGAGATGGGCGGCGGCACGGCCCCGGGGATGGGCCTGTGCGCCGGCACCCGGATCACGCCGGCCGGGGCCAGGCTGAGGTTCACACTGTACGATCCCGAGTCCTCGAAGGGCGCGGCGATGGCCGGGAAGGGGGCCGGCAGGGCCGGGTAGGGCGCACCGCCGCGGCCGCCGGGGCCGCCCAGGAAGGTCGCGCCGTCGGGGCCCCGGGGGGGCGGCGGGGGAGCGCTGTCCTGCTCGGGGCTGTTGAGGATCTGGTCGATGCCGAAGCTGATGGGCTCGTGCTGGTGCTGGCCCTGCGCCGGCCCCGGCGGGTCCATCCTCGGCGGGTCCATGCTCCGCCACCGCCGCCCTCGCGCCGCTGTGGAGGCGCCGCCGCTCGCGCTGCGCTCGCGGCCCGGCCGGACCCGCCGCCGACACCAAACTTTGCGGAGCGCGCGCGCG